ATCACGTGGTCTTTTTTATGTCCGGTCTATCTCTTATCTGAATATACTGTAGCTAAGAGTCAGTCACGGATTTGTTTATCTCCTCTTTCTCGGTATGTAGTGAGGATCACAGTGCATTTGACAAAAGTCGATTTTTTATAGTCCTGTTATCAAAATCGTCGCTTCAGTACCATTTTTTAGTAAGAGTATTTTATAATTGGGGTGTTAATACAACCCTGTCAGTTTGATAGGGATTGGTAGACAAGTGAGTCGACTGTACGCGCGATTTTGGCGACAAACATTGCAATGTAAGCATATGTGCTTGTCTCCTAATCTGTTCGAAATCTTTGGCTGGTATCGGATGAGGCTTTGCCTGGAATCACACGGACCAAGGAAGAAGACCGGTTCCTAATACTGTTGTATTCATTGGTGTCAGCGGAGCACTCGGAATTCTTTTTTGAGGCTGCAGTCACGTAACGCTAGTAGCTTTCCTTTTGATAGCGCACCAGTCAAAATTACGGGTTGCAATCTCGCGGCACGTGTCACGTATAAAGCGACGCTTAAATCCCACGCTAGACTGGAGGTAGCTGTTTGAGCTCCTAACTTCCAGCCTTACCAGGAGATCGGCTCTGTAATTTACTGTGTTGTGCTTAACAACGGTCATGCACTCATAGACTAGTCTTCATGTCTGCTCATGCAGGTGTGAGAACCACCCTGTAAAACGCTTCACGCTTCAGTATTCCCAATGTTCTCGAATTGTGTGTTTCAAGTGCCTGCTATACCAATACCACAACATCTACGGCGAGCTTCAGCTAATCCCGCTTCCAATGATAACAGGATTATCGATGCTCGCCGACACCGAAGCTTGCTTACTTTTACTCAACAAACGTTTGCACTGAACTCACCAGCGATTCTAGAGAGTCCGTCTTCTTCCCGGTAATTGCTTAGAATATATTTTAAAGTTTTTCCTTGGATGATGATATTGCCTTTCAAAATCAACATTTTCCATTGGCAAGAGCTCAGCTCCGTTCTTTTGTATAAAGAGAGAAAAATGCTAGCCTTGCATTGTGCGACGTCGACGGTAGGTTGTAACAAAAATAATTCAGATGAAGGATTTGTTTTCTGAAAAGTGCTTTTAGGATATTGGATCGCAACTAACCCGACGTTGAAATGCCTGCGAAACTGGATAATAATCGGTAACAGGTTGTCGCCGCTAAGCACAGTCATGAACGATTGAGTCTTCTCAAGTTTTCAGGGAATACTATATGTGCGGAAATTGAGATAATACGCATTTACACAACGAGTTCTGCCAAAATAGCTTATTCGTTGTTCAGTGGTGGAGTGTGGGGAAGGTGTTTAGCAATTTTTTCATGTCATAATAAAACACTTTCAACTCCAGCAATTCTACGCACCTAGTATTAGACATATTTCACACATCATAGATTTCCCGATACATTTGCCCTTAAAACGGAACAAAGTGAACATTCTTGCGGAACAAGTTTATTTCTGGATTGTTGGTATACGAGGGGACTTGCATTTGTACATATATCGATCGTAATCTAGCAGCAGTTGCTTCTAGTGTATGGTGTTTATTAGAGTTCTTCCATCCTACTGAGTGAGTGCTGGAGCTTTGTCAGGGGTATACTTCAAACCACCAAACTTCTTCCCTAACTCCCACATTTCGGTTATTCAAATTCCGCGTTTTTATTGTTCAATTTATTGGTTTGTATTAATTGTAGTTCGTTAAGTTTCCACGAACTCCATCCCTCAACTCTCAGTGTTGCTCGTTTCCGATTACATATGTATGTGATATGCCTATCAACCTTTGTACTTGCATATGAGCATTAATTTCGGGTCTGATGAAGCCAACAAGCAGAAATACGTATCGCTCGGGTTACCTATCCTATTTTCTGCTCGAATTCACTTTCCTTCTTTTTGCGGATTTTGTCCATTATGTTGCTATTTGTTATATACCTTTTTCCGCATGATCCTCTTCACTTTCCCTTTCTCTCTCTCTCTATATATATATATATATATACGAGCTATAGTCATTGCCATTGCCGACGACCGGTTAGGCAAGAAATACAATTGATTATTAATTGGGAAATTGACAAAGTTTTAACGGTAATCTCGAGCTTTCGGCGCGCTATGGAGCCATCATCAGGAGTCGTAGCTGAGGTTGCAGCCAAAAGGTGTTTCAAAACGAAAGCGTGGGTGAGAGTACTTGTTGCAAATGTAAAATCAAAAGGACGGACACATTGGGTTTTTTGGTAAAGACGGAAATCATAGGTGTTACCACTAAATATCAATACTCCCGAACAAATGAAAAATTATCGAACATTTTCCAAAAATTAAAAGGAGTACTGCATTTTGACGGCAGAGTCCCTACTAACCTCCTACATCTGTTTCGCGTAGAGGCAGTGTGCGATAATTTTTCATTTGTTCGGGTGCTTTGATATATAGTGATTTCCGTCTGCAATGATCTGTCATGAAAATGTGGGACATTTCTAAAAATAAACGTTTTGAGAGTCTTTTTTCTTTGTCAGGAATCTCAATACTGCCATAATTCATAAAGTGACCTGTGTTGTTAATGTTTAACGGCTACATATCCAAATCGAACCAACATCTTCCCAAAATTAGAATACATTTCCAATTGCTATCCTGGTAATTAAAATTTCTCACTCACAATCTTTAATTCAAACCCACATAACCCATCTTTTCAAGTGTCTATAAAGGCTGATGTTTAGCAGCTTAGTGTCATTTATTCCTACCTGTTGAATTGCGAAAAGCTAGAACGGCTACATATCCAAATCGAACCTACATCTTCCCAAAATTAGAATACATTTCCTATTGCTATCCTGGTAATTGAAATTTCTCACTCACAATCTTTAATACAAACTCACATAACCCATCTTTTCAAGTGTGTATCACTATCTCACATTCGTACACTCATATGAACTACTTATTTTTCCAAAACAAATTAATTCAGCATTTTAGTAATTTGGGTGGAGGTTTACCGAGCGTCCCTCGTATACTTCATACCCAAATTGGACAATGAGGTTTACAGTTCCACGTTCCGTCACCTCAATCACTTGTCATCTGTCGACGCATTATCTTTCCGTTCCGTCCCCCTCTCCACGTGTAGCGGAAGTAGAAGGTTAGAGACTGCATTCCGATTGTTTCCCTAAAATGTCTTCTCATGATTAATAATTTTTAATATGTTCGGGTGTATTGATATTTTTAACATGTAACGAGAAGGTATCTGTCGTTATCAACAAGCCCAATGTCTCCGTCCTTTTGGTTTTATACTTATAACAAGTTCTATCTTCTCTACGTCTTAAGTCACCTGATTCACGAGCCATTTGTACTACATTAACAAAGGCACGAGGGGTTGGTTGCACTCGATTGGGAAACCGGTCCGCATAAATCCATGATGCCGCGTAAATAAGAAGCATGTCCACAAGTTCAGCATTTTCGTAAACATGTGCCATTTTTGATTTCGTTTGAGCCACGCAACAGACACCACTATTCACTCACGCGTTACCGACTGACACTGACTGTATACAACTGAATAAAATAATTGTAAAAACATCGTCCCAAATTCTTTCGCTTTTTTGTTTCCGATGCGATGAACCGATAACGCGTATTATATCCGTTGTTGCCAAACACGAGCACATAATATTATTATTGAGACAGGGTGGTACTCAAACTTCCAAAGGGCTATAACTTTGTTACATTAATTTTACCAGAAAAATGGTAAAGGAAAAAACATTTCTTTTGATCAGATCTACTCACTGTTAAAATAAATGACTCAACTTCAAAGTCACCCTGTATATATATATATATATATATATATATATATATTAGACCTGAGAGATCCACATAGGCTACCTTTTCTCTGTGGAAATCAGACTTATAGGGGTTGAAATAAGCGGTAAAAGCTCTTATAGGGGAACTACTAGTTTCTAACAGATGTAGGTTCCATATGCTCAGTTCTTTGATACAGTGTACAAGGAAATTTTGCAAAACCTGCCCTTAATGAATAGAAGGGAAAGTCGGAATGTAAGCTCTCCAAGTTTTCATAGATAATTCAGAATATATTTAATGAATGCAGCCTAAAAATAGGAGTGTGTCTTGTTTGCACTCTTATCTTTAAAATAATTATTATTAACAAAGAGTTTCAGAAATTATATGCTCAAGATTGGCAGGAGGGGGTTCAATATTTAAATAGGGAACCTTACCACGTCTCAAGTCTATTGAATTTTATCTCGAACGCTATTTGACCTATGGGCATGAAATTTTGCAGAGAGGTAGTTTATGCACAAAGCATATTATCAGGTTATAGCAGATTTTAGGAAAGGGGGCTGAGGGCAGTATATATGAAAGAGAAGTGACGCACATCAGTCACGAAATTTAGACAACCTTTTGACCTATGAACAAGAAACTTGGAAGGGAGGTAGTTCATGCACATGTTAGTTATGAACAGATTACCCAAAAGTTCCACTTCACATTAACCATGAAATTTCGGGGAATATTTAACCTATGAACATGACATTTGATATAGAGGTAGTTCATGGAGAAGGCATGTCAACTAATAGTGGATTTTGCAATAAGACTTGATTAGCGACACATATGTATATGTAAAAGCAACAATATTCACATTATTACAAGATCTCAGAATGAAACATGAAATTTGGCAGGGAGCCAGCTTATGGACATGACATTTCAGCTAAGAATGGGTTTATGGGTTTTGTGGCGGGGCGGGATTAAGGTATTAAAGGGCAGCTGCCAGTTTGTCTAGAATCGCTTGGAGTTTTCTAATATCTAAAAATTGTCAGCGGTGCAGTTCTGTTTGGAGTAGATTAATAATAATAATGGTTTATTGTACAACAAAAACAAAAAGCTGCTATTCACTTCGAAGTGACCGATGACACATCGTGTGTTCTCACAGTACTGTACTAACTAGTTGTACCTGGCTGTGGGCGAATTTGCAAGATGTACTCGGGGCCTGCGCAGCTTCAGTAATGATGTGATTATTCTTTCTGATCTGCCTCAGTATGTCAAGAATACATTTTCGATATTACGTTCAATCTGTCACTTGTGAAGTCTAATATTCCATTCAAAATTGGAATATGTGGCAACCTTGCCAACTAACCTCACATTCTGAGCCTCATCTTTCTATGCTATGTAAACTGAACATTATTGATGTTTAAACTTATATTTGTGTCTCGCGATTGCTTAGCTTATGCCTTACAAGTACTGCGTTCCTAATTGTGTCGGTAATTACGGGAAGGATCCGAAGGTACACGTATTTTCATTTCCATTGAACGAAAACTGTCGTAAAAGATGGCTCAATGCAATTCCTCGTAGTGATTTAGTGGTTACACAATACACCCGTGTATGTAATTTGCTCCTTGTTGAGGACGGCATCATTTGGGAATCCACCATCCATGACGAAAAGACAGGTAGGACCATTACTGTACCCCTTAAGTATCCAAAATTAAAGGCAGATGTAATTCCAAGTATCTTTGCAAATTGTGCAAAATACCTTTCAAAGGACATTCAAGCAGAAGAAGCCGAGATGAGAAATTGAGGGACAAGGAACAAAAACAACTACTTAAAGCACTAAAAACTAGCATGGATGATTATTCCTCCTATCAAAAATCAACTTGTTTTCAAAATTATTCTCACAGTTCTCAGTTCATGGCAATGTCCGTATGGGTTGCATAAAATTGTTCAGAATAAAGTTACATTGTTTAAGTTATAATATAAACCAGCACCCATCATAACTCACTCTGTAATTGTTGATAAGGATCTCAATGTAAAAACGTATATGTACTCCCATTGTTACTCATCTCAGGTAATATTACAACACCATTTTTATTATCTAATGTACTCCAATTGGATGATGTTCTGCATGTTCTTTCTGAGAATGCATCGTCAGTTATATGAATCTGAGAAAAAGTTACGAACTCAAAGCCTGATGTCATTGAAGTCTCGCTATGGTGATATACAAATAGATAAATTCTGTAAAAATGATGATTTAGAAATAGATGAAATTCCATACAATTTGAATGATTACCACTTTTTCCGGGAAATTGAAATTTTACAGTCTGATATTGATAGTAGAAAGGATGAAATCCCTGTCATCACCTACTTAGCTGGGAAAATTTGACACACACAGATGATATTGATATAGAAGACAAGCACACTATTATACAGAATTTGAGTAGAGGTGGCTTAAAATTCCCAAAGGATCCAGTTATTAATATTGTCATGCTAAGTTATATAGTTTTCAATAAAGTTTTGGAATGTGACGAGGAATCATTTTTAGAAATCACTGATAAGAGACGCGCCCTTTCTCAGTGGATAATTAACAATCTGAGTGATAATAATCACGACACTTCATTTTCGCGTTGCACAGCCCATTCACCAGATTATGTTATAAAACTAGTTGTTATTTGCACAGTCAATACATTTTTGAAAAATGATTGTGTCAAAAGGAAGGACATCTTTGCAAGCGCGAATAAAGCAAAGAAACGTAAATTGACTACATTCACATGAGGCCGCAACATTTACATAGCTGTAAATGTTTATTTGTACATATTCTGAATTTAGCACTTTAATTTTCGTTATTCTAATTTTTGTTATTTTTGATACTTGTTTTCTGTTTTCTAATTTTTGGTTATTATTTTGTGCTGTTATTTGTTTATTCTGAGAGTTTTTATTAAGTTTTCGTTAATCTTTGTTATGTTTTTCTGTTGTTTATTTTACTTTGAGTTTATCTGTTTTTCTTATCATTTATCCTACACTTTTTCCTCTTCATCTTCCTTATTCCTTTCCTGGCAAGAGCTTACCTCAGACCTCCTCGTTGGTTCTTGCTGGACACAACTGTTCTACAAGCACTACATTTTATATATAATTTTCAAGTACCATTATATTATACGTACCTATAATAATAGTAAATTGTCCACATATTCCTGTGAAATTTTGTTGATCGGTTGTGACTAACATGGGGTTATTCGTTGAAGAATTTATCATTTTTAGCAAGCTTTTATAACATCAACTTATTAATCTAATGTGCAAATATCAGTGAAAATCAGGGTGAAAATAGTTAATAACTACTTTAATATTTTCCACCAAGTTGCTTTCATGTACCAAAAACACTTTTCTGAATTATCTGTTATTTACATCAGGTAGAGTGCTGCAATAATATATTATTCACTAGCGCTGATGTACGGCACGCCGTGCTGTGATGAAAGCACTATTAATAGTTTTCAATTACACGGCAGATGCTATTATCGCCAAAATTGTCAGCATCTGATGGTCATAATGATGACTTGGCTGTTAAAGCGGACTGAGAAAGCTTTACTATTCCGACCAAGTGCGTCTATTCACTTTGCAGTGTTCGAAACTGGTAAAAGATGGTACTTGTACTATACTTTCTGAAAGTATAAAAATTCGTAGAGATGTTACGTAAAATTGTGAAATAAGTTAGCGGTAGCACACTGAGCGAAAGTTACTAGAAAAAGTTCAGACAGCCCATAACGAAACTTTAGAAGCGTGAAATTGTAATATAAGATAGCATTCCTTGAAGTTAGGTTACTTCTCTCAGTGTAACTTACGACCGTAATCGTAAGTATCCAGCTGAGGGTAACACGCCGAACGAAAGTTACTGAGTAGTAGGAAACAATTGAAAGATATAGTGAGCACGGGCCCTGATTAAGGTTTATTCGCTCTTAGAATGGATAAGGGGTCGACCGGTATAGTGTAGAGATCGGAAAATGTGCCAAGAAGTTAAATGGAAGACCGCCGTAGCTCTTTATTTGATTTTATTCGGTCGAAACTGCTGGGGTTGCTAGATTTGAACTAACGGGTGATTATTTAAGAGGTATAGGATTTGATTTTAAAAAAAAAACACAAAAAAATTTGAAAAAACGATTAAATCTTCATTTGAGTCGATAGAACGGTCAATATAATTTATTGTTTAAAGATTATTTCACGTAAATGTTGGCCATGGCTCCGCTTTAGATAGCCCATGCGCAAGGTCCAATTTTTTCACACTCTCTCCAACATATCGGCCGGTATCTCACGAATAAATGCTTCAATATTGCCTTCCAGTGCGTCAATCGTTGCTGGTTTATCCCTATAGACATTAGCCTTAACATGACCCCACAAGAAATAGTCCAACGGCCTTAAATCACACGATCTAGGCGGCCAATTGACGGGTCCCAAACGTGAGATAAACTGTTCACCGAACTTGCCTCTCAATAGGGCCATTGTTTCGTGTGCAGTGTAGCATGTGGCACCGTCTTGTTCAAACCACATGTCAGCCAAGTCCAGCTCTTCCATTTTGGGCAAACAAAAGTTTGTTATCATCGCACGGTAGCGCTCGCCATTCACAGTTACGTTCCGGCCATTGTCGTCTTTGAAGAAGTACGGCCCGATGGTGCCACCGGCCCATAATCCACACCAAACAGTGATTTTTTCGGGATACATTGGTAGCTCTTGCAATGCTTCTGACTGGTCTTCACTCCAAACGTGGCAATTTTGCTTGTTAACGTACCCATTCAACCAGGAATGAGCTTCGTCGCTGAACACAATTTTTCGTTAAAAATGTCCTCTAACTTCGCCAGCGCCCATTCACCAAATTGGAAACGTTGTGGGAAGTCGTGTGGCTTCAATTCTTGCACCAGCTGTATCTTATAAGGTTTTACACCCAAATCCTGTCGCAAAATTTTCCACGTAGTGGAGTAACAGAGGCCCAATTGCTGCGAACGGCGGCGAACCGACATTTCACGGTCATCACTAACACTGGCGGATACAGCCGCAATATTTTCTTCAGTCCTCACTCTAGGTCTGCGTGTTGGTGATTTAATATCCAATAATGTAAACTGGGTTCGAAATTTAGTCACAAGCTTCCGAATAGCTCCCTCAGTAGGCCGACCAAATTGTCCATAAATTGGAAGCAGTGCTCGATGCACTCTCTTAACCGAGCATGAATTTTGATAGTAAAATTCAATAATTTGCAAGCGTTGTTCGTTCGTAAGTCGATTTATGGTTAAGTTATAGACCAAACTGAACAAGTTTGACAATGACGCAAGACATGATTCACGCGTCATCTGTCAAAAACAGATACTAGCAAAAAAATCTCCCATTATTTGCACCTCGATGGGGTGGATTTACCATCCAAAATACACTGTAAGGCAGTGTCAATTTTTTTAACTGAAAAGTTGCGTGCATGAGATGAACAATTTTTGTTGCATGCAATGCTGGAACACCCAATGATCTATTTCCAGTCAATGGTAACTTTAAATACGATCCTTGAGAATATCAAGGAAAAATCGAAAGGGAAAGAGGAGGAAAAAGGAGAAGATCAAAGAGAAACAGAGGTGGTTTAAGACGAAACACCTGGGTTTTTTGACTTGACACACGGGCTAATTTTGAGGCGAACTAAAACAAATTTTGATTGGGCTTTTGTTAGAGTGTAATTTTGAGTTTGAGTCGCGCAACAGAGGGTTGATGTGCGATGTCGCTTGACTATAACGTCGCCGCGCCTGAAGCTTGACGTAATCCCTCAAGTAAGGAATGTGAAGGTCTCTGTATAGTGTCTCGTTTGAGACATACCATGGAGCGTTGCAAATTGTTCGCAAAGTTCTCCTTTGCAGTACTTGAAGACTTTGCATGTGTACATAACAAGGGACATAGTCGAAACGCAATATAGAATTTTGTTTTCAAGGCTGCTGTATGTTTCTGCCAGGTCATGCCTTTATCACGGGTAACGCCGAGATACTTGGCAGAATGTGTCTATGGTACACGATTGCCGTCTACAGAAACCTCGGCTGCGGGCCGCAACTTTTGTTGGTACAATAAATAGCCTGCGTTTTCGAATTATCAATTTTAATCAGCCACCGTTCCCCTCAGTTCAGCGCTTCGTCCACCGCACTCTGCAACCCATCGCGAACCAGATCACCAGTACACAACTGGGCGACACGTGCACGTCAAGGGACATCATGGATAGAAACTGAATAAAGGATTGCTCTCAGGACCGAGCCCTATGGAACACCGGCCCATGCTGGCCGTGTTGGTGACGAAACATTGTTAATTTTGATCCGAAACTTCCTCCCTTCAAGAAAGGATTTCAGTAATTTTAGAAGCCAAAAAGGAAAGCCCTTTTGGATTAGTTTATAGATGAGGCCCGCGTGTCACACCTTGTGAAAGGCTTCTGAGACATCCAAAAGCAAGATGCCAGTACTCATGCTGAGGGTAAAAACTGAATTGAACGTCAGGAATCATATGGTGATTTGACGAAAAATTCTCAATCTGGCGGAAAAAATAACATTGTAGCTTTTGGTATCCAGATGAATACAAACAGATGATATACCATTCTATAAATCTTGTTATTGTGGTAAAAAAGCGTAAATTCATTTTTTTTAAATATCTAAGTGACATATAAATCCGAACACCCAGTTTAAGTGGTTTTATTTTAATAAAATTTTGTATAAGTACTTAATGAAGCATAATAAGTAAATGATAAAAATTTCAAAATAATTGCACTGCTTTAAAGCCCTTTGACCTTTAATAATGTGTGGATGCACCCTGATGTGCTACGCATTCTCCAACGCGCCTAGGCATGCTTCTGATCAGGTGGTCAATGTCCTCCTGTGGTATCTCATTCCAGGCAACCACCAACTCCTCTCGAAGTGCTTCTACAGTCTGAGGAGGACGTTGCAAATTGAGCAATCTCCTACCAATCATATCCCACACGTGCTCAATTGGGGATAAGTCAGGAGATCTTGGTGGCCATGGTAACAATGTGAC